CCAGGCAAACATCACTTATGGAAAAAATCTAGATACATTTCGTCTATAATCGGGCGATACACGACTAGTTGCCATCTAGATTACTAGTTGGAAAAGGGACTTTCAACGAGATGCGTCTGCATGTGCAACTAGCAATAGTTAAATCGATCGATTAGCGGGCGATAAATCGATAGTTGCAACTAGAAAGATTTCCACTGTTGCTACACAGTAGTTGCAGTCGAGTAAAAATCTAGTAATCTATATGAATCGGGCGATACTAGATTTTTTTTTGACGCTTGGGAAGATACAGTTAGTGAAAAAAGAAAAATTTGTAACCCCATTATCTCCTGAAGGAAGAAGGATAAGAAGATTTGATTTTTACCATTCGATAGCTCTAAGTATCAGCTTTATTCCTTGTTAATAGAAGATTTTTATCTCAAATTTTTCTATTAAAAGGTAGAAGGTTTTTAAGTTTGATCTGGTCTTTCGCTCAGTAAGTGTTCGTACGATCACTTTTTTGAATAGATAGAATTTTTGTTTATACACCATTCGAAATTGCAAGTCTGGTCTATACGATGAAAAAAAAGAAATTATCAAAAATAATTAATTATAGCAGATGGATAAAGATTGAGTTTTTAATTAATTAGTCAAATTTGACATAAAAAGTTGTTTGGTCTGTCTAACATTTATCGAAAAATAACTTTAAATATATCACGGGATAATGCTTGAAAAACTGCATATACCTGTTATAGTTTAATTGAAATAATATAAGATGAGCTCTTTACATTTAAAACCGATGAGGTGCACATCATTTCATTCAGCAGGGTTTTACATACAGAAAGAGAAACCAAAAGGGAAAAATATTGTTTTATGGCATGTAAACATATTAGATAAAAGTCTGTTGTTAACAAGGAATAAAGTTAAGACTTAGAGCTATCGAATGGTAAAAAACAAATCTTCCTATCCTTCTTGCTTCAGGAGATTAATGGCGTTACAAATTTTTTGTTCTTCATCGTATGAACAGTTTTTCCAGTAACTGTAGATAAGAGCGATCTAGAGAAAGGAAAAATACACATACCAAATAGAGAACTACTGGTGACTACTCACAATTGCAGTGCTAAGAAGTGTCTGTCGATCCCCAAAATACTTATAGTGTAATCACGACTCAGGTCACATTGTAACCATCATTACAAGAACAGACGGTACTGAGTGAGAGATAAGAAGCAATATATGATGACTAAGCCTTTAAGAAGGCTCTTTTATCAACCGTTATTCTAAAACCAGCCAACTTTGTCCATTTTTTTACCAAAAACGAGAAAATGGCCAAAAGGAGGTAAAAGGAGGAGAAAATTTTATTTAGGAGGAATAGGGAGGAAAGGAGGACGAGTACGATGCAAGACTTTATTACCTTCGGATTTCGCTTTTAAGCTACATGAATTAAGCAGTACCATCGAATAGTTAAATTGTTACTCACTAATTTACGTAATTCTTCTAAATGAAAATATTTTTTTTAGAAGTTGTTTATTTATTCATTCATAAAAATGAATATCATACATAAAATAGAATAAATACAATATAAAATCAACAACATCAAAACATCAAACGGCGCATTTCTCGTTTTTTATTTACAAACTGATCTAAGAAATGAGTATGAATCAGCAACAACATGATATATGGTTTACTATAAACAGAGAAGACGAAATACAAAAATATATTCAAATAGATTCGTATATAATCAATAAGCCACAATGAGATAGTGCAAGGTTAAAATTCATAAAAGAGTATACAGATCTAAGATACTAACAAAAATGGAAATGATAAGAAAACAGATTTGAAAGATTTTTGATAAACTGACATTATTTGTTTAATTTCATCGTATAGCAGACCACATGATAACAGTTTGACGTTTTTCTGATTTGTGAACTTTTGTGTAGGAACCTTATCTTGTCTAACATCATTCGCTTGGCTTTGAGATCTTCGGGAAAATAGGGCCCTTTTGAACAACCTTTTGAAACCCTTCTACATTTAAGAGATCTATGGAGCAGGATACATTTCTTTCTCAACTCCACTATGAGTCTTATAAATGACAGAAATTTTGAAACCGTTCATTTTTCACGATTTCAATTTGACTGGTGGCACTTGTTTGTTCAGCTGACAGTTATCACAACACCATTCAGCATATTTTTCATTATTTAAAAAATGTAATGCTTGTTCGGTAAGTCCAACACATGCACGATGATAAAAAAAATTGCAACCACTCTCACAAAGGATACAACCATCCGTATCATGCGTTTCTTCATGACACTTTCCACATATTGCTATCTAGTAAAAAGAAAAACAATGAATATTATGTGGTATTATATTAAATATAACAGGTACTCACCGGTGCAGAATTTGGATTTGATGGATTAGTGATGTGATGTTGATTGGGTGGATAAATTTTTGGCATCATTCCCATTCGAGTCATCATGTGCATATTTCCACCAGGACCATGCATTTGCATCATTCTTGGTGGTCCACCAAGTAGATTAGCGTTCATACCAAGATGGGGTGACATCGGTCCGTGCATTGACATATTCATACCTAAAATAAGCACCCCACTGTTGTCTATTAATCAGCAATACGATCGAAGAAAAAATGGAAAATACTTCAAATTCATTATGAAGAGTGCACAGTACACGCCGTTATTTGTACCTGGTGGTGGTCCATGCATGGCCATTGGACCCTGGAAAAAATTATCTGGTGGCGGGCCAAAATTACGCATTTGCGCATGAGGTGGTCCGAAGCTCATGCCACCACCCATGCCCATAGGCATTGAATTTTGTTGTTGAAGCGGTGGAGGTGAGCCATTAGTCAATATCTGAGGTGCAGACCCACCGCTTGTATTCAATGGACTTGTGCTGGCACGAGCACTAGGCGGTGTTGTCAAACCTGGTTGTGGCATGATACGAAATGAATTATTACATAGTATTAGTCTAAAATAGAAATACTACAATAAAACAATTGAGTAAATATTAAGGAAATAAAAATTCAGTGAACTTGAATAGTTTTGCAATAAACAACAAACAATGACTGAACATAAGTTTTATTGCGGAAGGCTATATGAAAAATTACAATGTATTTATAAAAGCATAATAAAGTTTTATTAGTATTGAATCAAAAAGTAAAAACTGTCAAATTTTCAGGCTTTTAAGGTAAAAACTCGTTTAAATTTTACATACCAGCATGAGAATCTCGAAATCCCTTCGAGAAACTCTGGAAAACCCTAAAAGTTGTTACAAAATTTTTGTACGTGAAACCCTTGAAAAATAGTGGAACCTATTAGAAGCCCCCCTAAAAATTTTGAACACTTGGACAATTTATAAGTCCTCGGGGCTTCTATTATGTAAGGGGGTTTAGTAAATAAGATTTACATCTGTTTAAAAACAGAACCATTGTTTTTTGCAGATTGCACAAAACACTATGAAGGTCATCTCAAAAAATACTAAATAAAGAAAAATAAGTCATCGGAAAAATTACATATACAAGAAAAAAAAAGAAGCGTGAAATGAATTCAAATAGAGATGAAACAACTGACTATAGTAAAGGTCAGTAGTAATTATATGACTAATAAAAATAATCACTATTCTGTATATACACTGACTAATAAAATGAAAAAATCATTCTAAACTGCTAAATAAAAAAACTGAAAACTAAAGAGATAAAGAAAAATATCATTCATTGCGTGTGTCTGCCATTAATGTCCGCTATTTCTGTACAACAGACGAAAATAAAAACCGAGCGTACGAAATCGAATAGCGGTAGCAAAGCAAGTTAAAATAGATTAGATAAAATTAAAATACCAGGAAGCTTTATATTAGGCATATTTTTCTTCTACAAACTCATTTCTCATTCAAATTGCTTTTAGACTATCAATCATTGCTTTAGTAAGAAAACGCTTTTATCGGTACTATTTGAAGAAGCGAAAGATAATTACAACTTATAAAACAAACAAGGGATGATCTAACAAAAAAATATAGAAAATGTAATGAAAATAACAAACAAAAATGAACAACTATCACTCGAAGTACTGTTTACAAGACGAGCATTGTTAGAGATGCAAGTGAGAATTGCAGTGAGATATTGTAATCAAATAAAAAATAAACGCATCTTTAATCATACAAAATAATTTTCCTAAGAGATTCTTATATGAAAATGAAGATATTCTTACTAGTGAAAACGAGCTAATATACATTAAAAACGTTTAGGCTAACAAGGAGTGATAGGCTCTTCTGCTAATTCTCCTCGTTTTCTTCTCAAGATGGCTGACTTCTAAATACACTCAAGCGTTACGCTTAGCCTTTATGAATGACTGCACAATTGCGAATACAAACAAGTGAAGAGAATAACGTATCCAATGAACTAAATCTCAAAGCCATTTTGTTATATCTAACAGATTCAAATCTTGATCTAAAAGATTGAAATACCTCAATAACTGAAAGGAGTTTTATCAAATGCCATTGGAATAAACTGATTATCTGGCAACTGGTCATCATTTGCCCTGTAATATAAACTTGATACAACATATATTAAAGTGAAGGCCATCAAACCAAAAAGCGATGATATTAGTATGAATAAAAGTCTTCCCACAATAATATGACGATGTTGTTTGTGCAATGTTTTGTTTCGCTGTCGATTTAGTTCATCGTAGATATCTGCCTTGATTTGTTGTTGGAATTTTTCGTTGTTTTTTAGAAGCGGTTCTGTTAATAAATTCTTCATATTACAGTTATTAACATCAGCTATGATTTGTTCATCATCTTCATCAGACGAACAGATATTCCATCCCCATGTCACGTGATTATTATCATAATCGTCGACACCGAAATGAACATCGAAAATGTCTTGTGCGCGTAGATGATGTGTTTTGTGTTGAAGTATACGTTGTTCAATCGACATATCTTTACGTTTTTTCACGTAATTCACGTCCTTTTCGACGTAGTTCGTTCAAAAATTTGTTTGTAGTTTTAGAATTACCACCTTGAGTTTGTGATGAATGAGTGGTAGAATATGGATCATATTCTAGACCGCTTGTTGATGGATAGTTGACGCCGAAATCATCGTCGGCTGTAGATTTTTTTCCATCAATTATATCATTAGTTTCTTTACTATCTAGGATTGATAACGAATTTGAACGTTGTAATGATTTTTTTAATAGCGAAGATTCACTTAAGGGCATGGATAATTTTGAATCCAAAACATTGGTGTCATTAGCTGCGGAGCAACGTCGACGATTATAAAACGTTTTCTTTTTCAAAAATGTACCAAAATTCGCTGATAAACGTTTTGTACGTAAGGAACTCGGTGGGAGTGGAGGTGCTAGCGGTGGTGGAGGATGTGAAGGTATTTCATTAACAATGTCCACAGTTGTATTGATTGTTACAGTTGTTGATGGTTGTGCAGTGATCTCATTGACAGGTGTTATTTCGAAATATATTCTTTTTTTAGACATTCTAAACCACAAGAACGAATAAATAAAGGGCTACAAGTTTAAATGTATCGTGGATAATGTGTAATGCATAATTAAAGTAGATGAATTATAACCTTATATAGAAAAAGTATACATGTTGTTACTACTGTTGCTTTAATACTCTGCATGAGACCGAGTAACTTCAAAAGAAACTAGCAGACCGAAATGAAGAATCGTAAGAATCCCACTCAAACTGCCTTCAGCTGTTGATGAGATAAACCATAGCAAAATCGCGTTTCTCATTTTTAGTCTCTTTCTGTAGTTAATTCTGTTTCATCATCTATTGCATTCTACCTGTACCGTCTTCTTGACCACAGAGAACCCAATAAGAAATGCTTTTACTTTATCTATTCTCTGACCTATCAGCTAAGTTGGCAACAAGCAAAGGAGAGAACATAAAATAATCAAAACGAAACAGAAACTATCTATGTATTCCTGTTCACTAAATACTGTATACAGAGTTGCCTCAAGGTCACCTTTGTCGACCCTCTTGAAAAGAAAATTGATGTTCTATCTCTGGTATAAATTTCACCTTGATCAACCATAGGCTTTCCCAGTTTTCAAGCGGTTCAAAAAAGAGGGAGAGCACCCTTAAAAACTTTGAATTGAACTAAATCGACTCAGTCTGCTCAACTGGGATGGACATCACTTACCGACCGTATTTTAGAGATGATCTCTTCTCAGTCTTAGTACAATATGACTATAGCTTTGTTCACACTACAAAAGGTAAAGAGCATTAATGAATCCGATTGAACGATAAAAACTTAAATCGTCATCAAACATGACTTAAGTCGGAATTAAGGATACGGATCGGTTGTAAAGTTAAGTGAGATCCGTAGTGCCGTACAAGGTCTAGAGCTATCACAACACAATGCCTATCAGAATAACAGAAACAGTTTTATTGGTTTAAAGTAAGAACCAATAAAAATTCGTTGTCGTAAAAACATAATCAAAGAGGAGAAAATGTTGGACATGATTTCTCCGTAGCAACAGGATTATTCAAAGGATAAGTTCTGTTTTAAAAAAATCAGAAAAGTAACTTGACTTAAAAAGTGAAGAAATAATTGTAAAAGGAAAAGCAAGAATGAGCAGAACAAACTTATAAAAAAACTTTTTTTAGGTGTTGTCCTACGCTTCGTAATCAAACGAGATGGCGCAGCATTGTATTATTCACGAAAAGTGAGAGTCATCAAAGATCTTCGACCCGTAATATAGCAATGACTCAAGCCAATAAAAGGGTAACGACAATTAGACAAACGAAAATTAGAGTAATGGACAGAGACAGATCAAGTAAACAAATGAAAACAGAGTAAAGAAAAAGACGAATAAAATTAAAAATTAAAAAAAGAAAAACTAGCACGAATATGGGTTGACTAGAAATATGGCTATACTTTACTTTTACTGTAAGAGATGTTGAGATAGAGCTCTTTTAAATGACGATAAAGAAGAAAAATAAACCACTGATTCTGGTAATTTATTCCAGACAGTGACAGTTCTATAAAAAAAAAGGCGAAAACTGTTTGTGAAAAAAGACTGTTAACAAGAGGTGGAATGCGAAAATGTTTAGAGCGATGAAGACGTAAAGAAGCATAGTGAGGACGATGAACAGGATAAAAAGTGGAGAGGACTAAGATGATGGTAAATTTTGCCCTCTAGTGCCCCCGACAGTAAGTATCACGTAGAAATCATTAAATTTTTAGAACACTATTTTAAATTTTTTGGTTTGAAGAAAGTATTTTAAAGCGAAACCAAGCCCATATTCATGTTTTATTGCTTG